CTACTGAGATCTTTTCTATTTCTCACCTCTAGGTGTATTTGTGAATACATGCGGACATGCCTTCATTTTACCAGAACATCTCAGATTGAGATGTTGAATGCACCATAGTTATTATTATTATTATTATTATTATTATCATCATCATCTCTGGAGACAGTGGGCTAACAGAAAACTCAAATCCTACAGGAGTTTCTCATCTCATTTTCTAGGTCAGGTGCCTCAGTGTGCATTCCCGGGACTTTATAAGATGATGCACTGAAGGATTTCAGCAAGAAAATTCTGGAGTGTCAACTGATACATTTTTCAGTCTCACCTTGCTCACTGTTTGAGTATTGTCACATACACATGCGTATTATTAGAGGTGAATGCATGAAGTTTTTGTTACTGAGAGAGTGGCCCTAGACCAGATGCCAGCGAACTGCAGCCCACGGCCCGAATCTAGCCTGCTGCCTCTTTTCATATGGCTCACAAGCTAGTCATAGTATTATATTTTAATAGTGTGGGAAAACATCAAAAGAAGAACAAATTTTGTGGAACATGAAAATGATACGTTTAAATTTTAGTATCCATAAACGTGGTTTCATTAGAACACACTTCTGTGGTTTGAATGTCCCCTCCAAAACTCATGTTGAAACTTAGTTCCCAGCGTCACTATATTGAGAGATAGGGCCTTTAACAGGTGATTGGGGTATGGGAAATCTGCCCTCATGAATGGATTAATCTATTCATGGGTTAATGGATTAATGCGTTAATGGATTGGTGGGTTATCATGGCAGGGAAACTAGCGGCTTTGTAAGAAGAGGAAGGGAGACCTGAGCCCTCTCACCACGGGTTGTCCTGCACCACCACAGGACTCTGCAGAGGGTCCCCGCCAGCAAGAGGATCTTCACCAGATGTGGCCTCTTGACCTGAGACTTCTCAGCCTCCATAACTGTAAGAAATAAATTCCTTTTCCTTATAAATGACCCAGTTTTAGGCATTCTGTTTTAAGCAACAGAAAATGAACTAAGACAATGCTCATGCCCATTCACTACATATTATCCACGGCTGTTGCCTGCATTTTGATGGCAGAGTTGAGCAGTTGCAACAAAGACCAAATGGGCCAGTAAAAGCTGAAAATATTTACTATCTGGCTCTTACAGAAAACACTCGCCAACCCCTGCCCTAATCATTGGCTTCATTTCCTGGGACGATAGTTTTGTACTTATCCAACTTTGTGGATAGCATTTCTTTTTTTTTTTTTTTTTTGAGATGGAGTCTCACTCGGTCGCCCAGCCTGGAATGCAGTGGCACTATCTCGGCTCACTGCAACCTCTGCCTCCCAGGTTGAAGCAATTCTCTGCTCAGCTTGCCGAGTAGCTGGAATTACAGGCGCTCACTACCGTGCCCTGCTAATTTTTGTACTTCTAGTAGAATGGGGTTTTACCATCTTGGCCAGGCTGGTCTTGAACTCCTGACCTTGTGATCCACCCACCTCAGCCTCCCAAAGTGCTGGAATTACAGGCGTGAGCCACTGTGCCTTAATAAACTTTCTCAAATAACTTACATATATATTGAATGAGTACCGCCCCCCTCAATAATTTTACCTGGGATTGGGGAGGAGGCATTAGAAGAAGGCCAGGAAAAACACCTTGAAGCCGGCAGACTGTGAAAAGTCAAGAAGCTGCACAAAGAGTTGATTTGGAGGGCTATGAATGAGCTTGAGGGCAGGCCATGCATGTCCTCTTTAATCTGCTGCTGTCTTTGTTTGGATGTTGATACTGCAGTCAGCCGGTGGTTACAGTGTCACCTCCAGCCTCATGTTAGTGTCGTGCTGCCTTGTACTACACTTACTGAGCACTTCCTTCCCCGGGAACCCACAGATCTACATTCAAATTTATTTCTCCCCTTAACATTCCTGGGAGAGGTGCTTTCATTGGATACAATCTCTTGTGATCAATTCACTTTTTAGGTCCATGAAATTTTAAAAAGAGACAAACCCTCATCAGAGATGGGAGAACCTTGACAGAGTCTTGTTCTGTTGCCCAGGCTGGAGTACAATGGTGCGATCTCGGCTCACTGCAACCTCTGCCTCCCGGGTTCAAGTGATTTGCCTGCCTCAGCCTCCTGAGTAGCTGGGATTACAGGGGCGCACCACTTCGCCTGGCTAATTTTTGTATTTTTAGTAGAGACAGGGTTTCACCATGTTGGTCAGGCTGGTCTCGAACTTCTGACCTCATGATTCTGCCTGTCTGCACCTCCGAAAGTACTGGGATAACAGGTGTGAGCCGCTGCGCCGGGCCTATTTGCTGTTTGAATGTAGGTGAATAACTGGGTCCAGCCCCATTTATTGATTCCAAAGCTGAACCTTACTTGTCTGACTCTTATTTGATCAGCTATTCTGCTATTTTGTGTAGGAAGATTTAGATTCCAGGAACCCTGGTTACCTTAAAGTTTTGATGAACATGACAGGCTTCTGCCAGCAGGTAAGATATTCATCTTACTTAACAAGATTTTTTTTTTTTTTTTTGGTGGATGTCCAAAATAGAAGTTCTTGAGAACCCAGGTGAGAGGGGGCATGTGGGTTTAGGCAACTGGTCAGCCCCCCAAAATAAGATCCAGTAAAGGCATGACAGACAGAGTCTCTGGTGCAGGAAGTAGCTTATTCCAGATGTTAGGAGGAAACAAAAGAAGTGGCTGGGTTGTGAATCTGTGTAATTTACCAGTGGATACTACGGTTGGATGACAAGTAGAAAACCTCAGAGTGCTGAGTAAGAAAAGAAATGGTTCTGATGAAGAAGGCCTAACTCAGAGAAGATGGAAGATTTTATTCTGGGAGGAAGAATAGACTTTAGTAACATGTAGTGGACTTTACTAGCTCAGAAGTCCTCTGGAGTTCTGAGTCAACTGCTTATTAATACCGTGTTATGTAATGACAGAAGGATGCACACAGTAAACTTTCCAGAAAAGCAAAAACCACAAAAGTGGGCAGAACCTTCATTTCCCCTTTGTTTGCTGATTAGTGGAGGTTCACGTGATTTCTTTTAAGGCTGGTACAGTCCCTCCACTGGCATCCAAGAAACGGAAATCTCCCAATGTTAGTAATCCCGTCAGAAGTTTTGGTTTTCTTGGAAAACATGCCTGGTGGCCTACTGGGGGCCTCCAGGCCACACACCTCCACTGCTTGAAGCTGTCTCTCTCAGGGTGCATGGGTGACATCGTGTTCAGATGGATGCTTTGAATCCAGGGTCCCAGTCCCCAGCTGCTGAGACGTGACACCAGTAGTGTGATTACCTGAAAAAGATAATTGGCTCGTACTTCTCTCAATATGAAAAGTTTAAAAAATATGTGAAATGATCATGCTAGAGAAATAAATTCAGTAAGTCCAAATCTAAAATAATCTAATCTGATTATTATTTTCCGTTTTGAATATTTATAGAAGTCTTAAAATACTGCCAGTCATGGTGCTCACGTGATTTTTGCACATAGACCACCTCACAATGAATGAAGTGAACGGCTCCTTCTTTCACTAGGGGCACGAAGTCACAACCTGGCTTGTCCCTGGGATTTGTGTTCCCTCCTTGTCTTCATGAGAGGGGTCCAGGCAGAGCATCCTGCCTGGATTCCCACGTCTGGACAGTGCCAGGAACTTGACAGTGGAGGGCTGTGATGTGGTTTGGCTGTGTTCTCCCCCAAATCTCACCTTGAATTGTATCTCCCATAATTCCCGTGTGTTGTGGGAGGGACCCAGTGGGAGATAATTGAATTATGGGCACAGTGTCCCCCATACTGTCTTCGTGGTAGTGAATAAGTCTCATGAGATCTGATGGTTTTATAAGGGGAAACCAGGCTGGGTGCGGTGGCTCACGCCTATAATCCCAGTACTTTGGGAGGCCGAGGCGGGCGAATCACAAGGTCAGGAGATTGAGACCATCCTGGCTAACACGGTGAAACCCTGTCTCTACAAAAAAAAAAAAAAAAAAAACAAAAAAAAAAAAAATTTAGTTGGTTTGGTGGCAGGCGCCTGTAGTCCCAGCTACTCGGGTGGCCGAGGCAGGAGAATGGTGTGAACCCAGGAGGTGGAGTTTGCAGTGAGCTGAGATCGCGCCACTGCACTCCAGCCTGGGCGACAGAGTGAGACTCCATCTCAAAAAAAAAAAAAAAGGCCGGGGGGAACCCCTTTCACTTGGTTCTCATTCTTTCTTGCCTGCCGCCGTGAAAGATGTGACTTGCCTTCTGCCATGATTGTGAGGCCTCCCCAGCCACGTGGAACTGTGAGTCCGTTAAACCTCTTTTCTTTACAAATTACCCAGTCTTGGGCATGTCTTTATCAGCAGCATGAAAATGGACTAATACAGGCTGCACCCTGGTCCTGCCTTCTGCTGTGTTTCCCTGAGGCAGCAGAGCCTCCTATGAAACGTGTCTCCCTTTACAGCCTCTCTTTAGTGTCTGCCTCACCTCCTCACTCCACTTATCCCGCGCTTCGCTGCCACTTCTATGATGAGCCGCTGCTTCAGAAGGGGTCCCCTGAATGGTCTGCTGATGGCTTGGCCTTCTGAGCCTCCGTCCCTCCCTGTGCACTGGGGGAAGCCCCTTCTCCTGCAGACAGGCTCTCAGGCCACAGGGGATGGGTGTGGAATGGCAGGTGTGGCCGGAAACGCGGGGATGTGTGAGGATTGTGTGTGCATGTGGGGTGTGTGAATGTGTGTTAGCATTTGAGAGTGTGCACATGTGAGTGTGTGCATGTGTGTGTGCACATGTGTGTGAATGTGTGTGAGCATTTGAGAGTGTGCACATGTGAGTGTGTGCATGTGTGTGTGCACATGTGTGTGAATGTGTGTGAGCATTTGAGAGTGTGCACATGTGAGTGTGTGCATGTGTGAGTGTGCATGTGCTGTGTGCACATGTGTGTGAATGTATGTAGCTTGTTTGAGTGTGCACGTGTTGTGTGCACATGTGTGTGAATGTGTGTGAGCATTTGAGAGTGTGCACGTGTGAGTGTGTGCATGTGTGAGTGTGCACGTGTGTGCATGTGATGTGTGTGAGCGTTTGAGTGTGTGTGTGTGCATGTGAGTGCATATGTGTGTCGGTGAGTATTGGTCTGTGTGTGTGGACACCAGAGTGAGTGCTTGAGAGTGTGTATGAATGAGTGTGCAGGCGTGAGTGTGAGCATGAGTGTGTGAGTGTGAGCATGGGTATAAGTGTGTGTGTGAGGGGTGAGGTTGCAGCAGGTGTCTTACTCATCTAACTTTGCCAGTGGAATAGGCAGGCGCTCCCCTCCCATCTTGAGGTGCCCTGTGTGGCGAGCTCAGGGCTTCTGAGGACAAGAGGGTGGCAGAGGGCACCACTTATGGCATGAGTGAAGTCTGCTGGTGGCTGCTGTAAGCTGTTTGTCACGTTGCCTTACAGGCATATTCCATAAAGCAAATTGGTTTGCTTTTCCTTAAATGAGCCTAGGGAAGCCAGGGGTAGGGTGACAGGTAGCTGGAGAGGAGGATTTTCTCACTCGCTCGTAGAATTGTACTGTGGGGTGAATGGGCAGGTGCATGAGGGGTCAGTAGCAGGTGGGCTGGGCGCAGAGCCCCACTGCACAGGGTCCCTCTGATCCACATGGGCCAGTCCCACCCCAGCCTCTTCCCAGGTGCTTTTACCTCCAGCACCTTCCGATCTGCTCAGACTTCTAGTAGTGGGGTCTTTGGGGGTCCTCAGGGCTCTGTCCTGGATGTGCCTTGAACTCCAGCCTGTTTCCTTTAGGGCCTCCATGGCCTCCTGGGGCCCCGGAAACCTCCATATGCCTGTACTGCCCTGGCTGTACCCCTGCTCGTTCTTCTTGTCTGAGCTCCACACCTGTGTGTGTGTCTGCACATCCTGCCCCCACCTCCCCACAGTGCTTCTCAGAACCTCCATAACACCCTGCCGTGAATAATTCTATGCGGCAACTTGACTGGGCCATGGGGTGCCCAGATATTTGGCCTAACATGATTCTGGGCATTTCTGTGAGGCTGTTTTTGGACGAGTTTATCATTTAAGTTGATGAGTGAGCAAAGTAGATTGTCCTCCCCAGTGTGGGGGGCGTCATGCGATCAGCTGAGGGTCCTGAGCTGAGTAGAACATGGCTGGCCCTCCCCCAGGTAAGAGAGAACTCCTCCTGCCTGCCGGCCTTCCAGCTAGCACGTGGGCTTTTTCCTGCCTTCGGGCTAGGACTCCAACCCCAGCTCTTCCTGGGTCTTGAGCCTGCAGCTTTTGGACTAGAACCTACACTCCGGGCTCTCCTGGTTCTCAGGCCTTTGGACTCAGATGGGACTGTACCTTCAGCTCTCCTGGGTCTCCAGCTTGCTGACTGCAGATCTTGGAACTTCTTTGCCTCCATAATCACACAAGCCAATTCCTTGTAATGCATCTCTATCTATCTATGTCCCCTATAGTTAAGTTTCCTGGGGAATCCTGAAGGATACACCCCCTTCCTCTCCCTCAGCACAGAGTTGTTCTGTGCACTTGGCTAAGCCTCCACAGCTTCCCTCAGGACAGGGCATCCATCACCATCTCCCACCCGGACAGCAGCAAACACTGCCCTGGTGGCTTCCTGGTGCCATCCTTGGCTCCTTCCCGTCCATTCTCCAGCGGCTGCCAGCGTGAACTTGAAGAACCTGTGACATGTCCTTCAGAGCATTCTACTTCCTGTTCCAGAAGGACAACCCCTCATACTTTCCCGTGGGCCACACACCACCCCTTCCTCAGCGCCCCAGGCTGGCATCCTCTCCCTGCCTTCAGCCTTCTTTTCCGAGGTAGCGCTGATACCAGATGTCGCTAAATAGCAACTTGCGTAACTGTTCAGCTTCTCTCTAGTAGAGGAGATCATAAGCCTCATGAGATCCCAGAGTCTCTGTCTTCTTCAGTACCCCCCAGCACCCACCCCAGGGCAGGGCCACAAAGAGTTGTGGAGTGCCCAAGTGGTGAATGAACATGGAATGCAAAGGCTGAGGGTGCATTGACCAGGAGCACGGGGGGCAGCAACTTGTGGAACAGCCGCAGCACAGATGAAGTGGCCAGGCTCCTAGGGAAGCCTGACTAGGGAGCTGGAGGGAGGCCCGGGGATGGCGGGAGAGAGGGAGAGGGTGTGTGTGGTCACGGCCTGGGAGGCCAGCAGACCAGAGCTGGGAGGGCTTTGCACATCTCTCCGGAGCTTGGGTCCATCCTGGAAGCCATGGGGAGCAAGGATTGAAACTGGGAGCGGGCTCTGGCTGTTGGAGGTAAAGCTGCTTGTACCACTGAGCCTTAACACTCAGGAAAGTGGTCCTGGCTGCAAGGTCAGGGAGCCAACGGAAGCCAGTGCCTGATCCGGGCTGGGTTTTCTCAGCCGTCCCCCAGGAAGAGGCTGCATCGGGAATGAGGACACAGAAGCTGGCTAGGATGGCTTCTGATCCCAGTAGGGCCTCTCAGGAGCCCTGACAGCCAGCCTCTTGGTCTGACTAATTCAAAAGAATATTCTTATTTTACAGGCGTGGGGCAAGCTTTCCTTATCAGCAGTGGGGATGCACTGTTTTATTTATAGAATCAACATGTTTTCACAGCAACAAGAATGACTTGAATCCTGCCGGCATGTTGGCGTTGTTTGTGCAAAGGTACGTCTGTCTGTCGGCATGTTAGGTGATCCAGCTTCCTCTCCGAATCCCTGCCTCCCACCTCAAAACACACGCAGGCTCCACGGAGCAAGTCTCTTTTCGTTCGTGGAGGCGCTGGCCTGGCAGGGCTGAGGCGGAACACACAGCCAGTGCCTTGGGCCGGCGTCAGCCTTGGCTCTGGGGGCTGTATTTCCAGCTGACTCTTGGCTGGCCAGGAGGGGAGTGAGCCAGGTGCTGGAGGCTGTGAAGAAGAAGCTGTGTTCAGAGAGGTTCAGCGGTTGCCCACTCAGGCGGCCCTGAACAAACACCCTTTTCTGACCTCCAGCTGCTAGTAAGAAAGTGCAGGGAGGACAGAACGAAAGCTGAGATCAGACCGTTTCTTCCCCCACACCTCCGCAGTCTTTTCCCTTTTGGGGAATGTGGGCCCTGCCCACTTACCGCCCACTTACCTGTCCCACTGCCACTCCACTGCCTGCACAAAAGCAGGCGAGAAGCTCCTCCCCCCAAAGAGCTTTTCCCCAGGTCCTGCTGAGGTGACCCCCACACCTTCGCCTCCCAGGACACAGACTGCTTGGATCATGGGTTCCCAGTGTTTTGGAATGAGGGTCCTTTGTAATGTCAACACTTCTTAAAGATTCAAGGGATAGGTTGGTATTTGTTAGAGAAAATAACTATTGTCAAGTAGGTGTTATAAATAAATTGTTGACCCTTTTAAGGCAATTGGGGTTTGCTAGTCTTAATAGCACCTACATATGTATTGCAAAACAGTCAATCAGATTTGTTCAGATTTCAGACAATGCTTGTTGGACACCTGAGTTCCTTCCTAGACACCTTGTCGTAATTTGGTGCTTTCTCACCCCTGGTCTGTGGCTCCCCCAAGATGGGGATTACTGAAGTGACTGAATGATGCATTATGGTCCTGAATTCAGTGCTGGGTGAACATGTCTTGTCTTCCCAGGGAGTTTAAAAGGCCTCTTGGAGGGCTGGGACGATGGCTGGTGGCCCCATGTCTTGTGCGGAAGTGGACACGAGGCAGGCATATTGCTACCGATGACCCCACGGCAGAACCAGAGGGGTTTTACCCCAGAGGCTGTTTTAGGAAAAACAAATCTCCAATGAAAGCTACACTGTAATCACACGAGAAGAAACTGTCACTCAAGAGGCCAAGGTGGTGGCACAATAAGGCCATTTATTCAAAGGTATATTTTGTTAGGGAAAAATAGTCAAGGCTGTGGAAATGGTTAGGGCTCGAGTACCAGTTCCGTACACAGGGAGGGGGTGGACACTAATCGCGTTTGAGCATCACAGAAGAAACAGTGGAAACTCACCCTTTGTAAAAGCAGAAGACACACAGACGGGAACAGGGTCGGGGGGCCGAGAGCACCTGAAAACAAAAGCAACAGGGTGGCAGAGGAAGAAAAAGAAAAAAAGAGACAGGCTTCCACCAGCACAGTTTTGCTTCTCTGCCTCGAAGGAACCGGAAACAGGCTCAAACAGCTTAGAGCAGAAATCCTCTCTGAGGTGACAAGGCGGGAAAAGTCGTGACTTCCTTAGAAAAAGCTGGTCTATCAGCACTGGAGTTATTCCTGTTAAAGATGCTCCTCCAGAGAAGAGAATTATGTGACCCATTGTCCATTAGAATTCAAAAATTCTTTCGTTCACATCAGGTCAGGCCTCTAGTTCTTGCTTTTTGGGAACCGTGAGAGCTTTTGAAGCAGAGCCAAGTGCTTGTGGACATGTGACCTAAGCCCTGTCCTCTCCATCTGTCACTCAGGGCCTGTGGCTTTTCTAAGTGAAAAGTACAATATGGTAGACCTCAGGGTTGTCCTGGTTCGGCGGCAGCCAGCTGGAGGACCCTGTACCATTTCCCTGTAAGACCCCTGGGTCTTAGTATGTCCATCTGTGAAATGGGGGAGTGGACTTCATTGCCTCTGAAGTCCCTTGAGGTTTAGGTGTCTATCCTGTTCTAGAAAGTGTCCCAGATAATTTTTCTTTCCTGCGGGGTCAACATCTTGTGAGTATGGGGACCAGGCAACGTGAGCTCCAGCCCTAACTCTGTCCCAATCAACTGTGTGACCTTGGGCAAGTTGCTTAACTTCTCTAGGCCTCAGTTTTATCATCTGTGAAATGAAGTTAATGGAGTGTTTGTTGTTGTTGTTGTTGTTTTTAGTTTGTTATTTTAAATCTTATCAGTTGTTGGGAGGATTAAATGAATTTGTGCAGTGCCTGGTGTCTGGTACCTGCTCAGCGGATGATGCACACCCTGTGAATAATAGTTACTCCATCACACAGCAGCCCCAGGAGTCGTGCTGAAATCTCTCTTGGGATCTGAGGCATCATATAATTGGCCAAAGGAACCCATTACAAAGTGAAATAGGTGGCAGGTGAAAATATGTGCAGAAACGCCCTGGGTTCAATTAAAAATATGTGGTAAGAGATGCTAGAATTCCAGGTTCTAGCATAACAATTTGAATATTCATTAGATTGCAACAGCGGTTCTCAGGTTTAGTTTGTGTCGGAATTCCCTGGAGGGCGTGTTAAAACATGGATTTCAGAGTTCTGATTCAGAAGATCTGGGTGAGGCCCAGGAGTTTGCATTTCTAACAAGCTCCCAGGTGATGCTGACGCTGCTGGCCCTGAGAGCACACCTTGAGGACTACTGGATTACCGATTGTATTCTAACGCTGCTTTTTTTCTCTCTTCCAAATTTGAGTAATGCTTAGATCCCATTTAAAGGGGAAAAAACAATGGAATCTCTCTCATTTGTAAAACACTGTGTTAGTCTTATTCTACAAAACTGTCTTTCAACTGTGAATTTATGAAAGTAGAATAATTTTTAAAATTTATATTGTCAACTGAATGGAAATATAACATGGAAACATTTTTCTAGAAAGTTCACACCATGTGGAATACAACCTAAGAAACATTATTCTAAAACAGAAACGTTCCTGTTCTTTCTGTACCTGTAAGGGTAACGAGGAAGTAAATGCAGGAAGGGGATTGTGAGTGGCCAGATTTGGATTTTGAGTCCTTTTCTGCCTGGGATCCCCCTCTGTGAGGGGCCGTGGGCTGTGCACGGCTCTCTGGACCCTGTTCCTTTGCTGGAAGAAGATTCAGTGTGAGGCTCTGAATCTTTGCCATCAGCTGCTGGGAAATACAGGACCTTCTGCTGGCAGGGTCAGGCTGTCAGGGTTCTTGGCTGCGGAAAGAGGAAGCTGGAAGCTGGGCGGGACAGGGTGGGAGGTGCCAGGGCTTTGGCGTGAGTTTTCCTGTTATTCTATTCTGTTGGCTAGTTCCTAAATTTAGTTTAGGTTAAAAAAAGAAATGTTTCAAGTACAAAGTGGGTTGAGCAGTCCCCTGGGGCAGCTAGCTGTGCCGTGGAGATGCACACTGCTTGCACTGACTCGATATTCTTTTTTTTCATCAGGTGTCATCTCGCTGGAGGGCAGAAGGATTCCCTGGAGGCTGGGGGCCAGCAGGACAGAGGAAACAGAAGGTACATGGCCGATGATGTCTTTCGACCACAGAAAGGGCTGGAAGAAGCAGGGACCCACTGTTTGAATAAACCCAGTGGAAAAACAGAAGCCCCATTTCATACTTGACTCAGCTCTTCAAGTTTAAATCTTGAATCTCCTCAACTACACGGAACAGTGTTTCTCCCAAGTCATCTGACACCCACTCTGTTTTCTGGATCATTCCTTCCTAGAGAACCTTGCTCTTGGAGGGCTGTGATCTGCTCTCACCCACTTGCCTTTCTGATCCACTGAGTGCATCTCAATAGTCACTTGGGGCGTTCTGATCACTCATGACCAGGAAGGGTTGGGTGGCTCGTGGAGCTTGGGAAGCACTCTCACTGTGGTGGTCCCCATCGGTGGTCATGGGGTTGCCACACTGAGCCACGTTTCTGCCCTCATCTCTCTCTATGTTACCATGGAATCTCTGACTGAGGACCCATGGACTCACCCAATGTGATAAAGTCCTGAAGCCCAGCCAGGACTTCTGACCCCAGCCACAGGGCTTTCCGATATACAGACGCATAGAACTTGAGAGGAAATCGACTTAGAAACCTGAAGTTGGAAAACTGGTTGCCTGACATTCTGTGCAAGACTGAATATCTGAGGAACGAGGGCTGTGTAACTTTGGGAACATGTCTTTTCCGGCCTATGTAGACCCCAGGAAACTTTGCAGTTCTTCCCCAAGTATGGATGGAGTCAAACTTGATGTCCTTTCATCCCCCCATCCCATCCCCTAATCTGTATCCTTTGGAAATTTTAGAGTGCCAGGCCTCATGTAAATACACTGAAAACAATTTAAGTCATTTATGTTCTACTAAGCCAAGAGTTCTTAGTGGTGGAAGAAGATGGGGTCTTACATGAATGAAAGGGTGTTGGCTATTTGCATTGGTATCAACAAAAGGACTAGATGCTTGCACTAAAAGAAAAAGCTGAGAGATGGGGGCAGGAAGTGGGGAGCTGGGACCCAAGCCCCACCTTCCTGAGTCTGCCTGTCACCAGGAAGGCTGGAGATGCCAGACGCTGTCCTGATGCTCCTCTGGGTGGTGTCTCCACCTGCTTGTTTTCAGGAGAGGCCTAGCAGAGGAGGTACAGGACATTGCTAAGTGGATTGAATAATATTCCCCCAAATTCATGTCTAACCAGAACCTCAGAATGTGACTTTATTTAGAAGCAGGGTCTTTGCAGATGTTAAGTCAAGATAAGGTCATAGTGAATTAGAGTGGCCCCAAATCCAGTGCCTGCTCTCCTTCTAGGAAGGGGAGACACAGGAAGAAGGCTGCGTGAAGCTGGAGGCAGAGACGGGGGCGGTGTAGCCATGGCCAGGGAATGGTGGCTGGGACAGGCAGGGAAGGTTCCTCCCTGAGCCTTCAGGGGAGCGTGGCCCTTCCACCTTCTTGTTGCCAGACTTCTGCCCTCCAGAATTATGAGACGATAAATTTCTGTTGTTTTAAGAACAAAAGAATTAACACCTAGTTTGTGGTTGTTTTTATGGTAGCCCTAGGAAATGCATACAGCTGGGGAGACCTTCTTCCAGGGACCTGCCTCTGAAAGCATAAAAGCAAGTGCCTTCCAGCTTCTGGCAGGGCGGTGGCCCCAGCCTTGGTGCTCCCCCTACCCTCCCGCCCCCCGCCCCGCCACTCCGCTGTCTCCCTCCTCACTGCTTCCTGCTCAAGGCTCTGTGGCTGCCGGCAAGGCTCTGTGGGGAAGGGGTTCAAGAGAAGGCCTGGCGTCGGCCCACGGTCCATTCTGGACAGACAGCTTGGCTTGCTGCGGTGGTCCTTTTCCTCTTTGTGCGCATGTGCTGGAGAGAGAAAGGCGAGGGAGGAAGTGGAGGAGGCTGGGGCTGCAGAGCCAAGGAAACCGAATGAAACCCTCTGAGAAGCAGCAACCCAGCGGGTGTGAAGGTTGGCCTCAATGCCGCGGACAGGGCTCTACAGAGGGGGCTGGAGTGAGAGAACTTCGTCGTCACAGCTCTGCCCCTCACTCACTATGTGACCCAAGTAGGACACACTTCCCAGCTGCCTCAGTCTCCTCATCTGAGGAATGGGCTGATTCACACAGTATCACATCCTAGGGTGTGCTAAGGATGTCACACACATATCCCTGGCAAGGCTGCTGGGAGGACCGAGTGAGTGAGCAGGTGCAAGACCATTGTCTCCCCAGGTCAGTGCTGTAAAACAGTAGCTGCTAGAGGATTGCAGTGATACTGTCATTTCCTTAGTAACAGACGTTGCTGTTTGGGAAATTCCTATAGCCAACGGCCAAGCTCCTGGCATTTGATGCTGGTGTCTCCAAAGATTGGTTCTCATCTCTCGAGGGCTTGTTTTTCATAAGGGCACACTCTTGCCCCCACAGCATGCAGGCTGATGTCACACGCCGCCCTGAATCACAGCGTGGTACCACCTGTTTCCCTGACGTAAAGCTAGGAGAGGAATGATGTGACCATCCCAAATGTTCCAGTCACCCTGACCTTTAACCCTGGCTTCTAAGAAGGCTCCAGATGTTTCTTGTGGTTAGAGCTCCCAGAAAATGACTCCTTCCTCTATGAGACATTATCTGATGACAAGAAGATTCTGAGCGATGTGGGGGAGTGAGAATATTTTCATAATATCTGCCATTAGAATGACTTAGAAATGGAAGGCCCAGGTTGAGAAATTAGGATCCCATGCACGCTGTACTCTTGTGAGGAGGTGCAGAAGTTACCTCTTCCCTTGGAAATTCTCCTTCTTAGAACTTGGGTATTTATCAGCCACCTCACTGGCTGCTTGAAGGATGGTCACCTTTTTCTGTATTGGTTTGCAAAGAAAGGAAGTTGCAAAAGGTCACAAAGCAACTCCATATCCTTTGGAAATTTTAGCGTGCTGGGCCTCATGTAGATAAACTGAAAACAATTTAAGTCTTTTATGTTGTACTAAGTCAAGAGTTCTTTAGCAGTGGAAGAAGATGGGGTCTTGCATGAATGGAAGGGTCTTGGCTATTTGCACTGGTATCAAGGGAAGGACTAGATGCTTGCACTAAAAGAAAAAGCTGGGGGATGGGAACAGGAAGTGGGGAGCAAATCTGAGACTGAATAAATGTAAATAAAAGAGCTAAGATTGTTGAGCAGGTACTAGAAGCTGGGTCAGATTTTATTCCCAAGAAATCTTAGTTATTCTGCCTCCTCCTAGATAGGGAATGTGTTGCTTACCTTTGCGTCCACACCTGGCTCATACCAACCATGCAACCAATAATTGTTCATCAGACGAAGGTTGTCAAAGGCTCGGACAACCCTTCAGTAACTCTTTCAGGGAAGCCACCCGCCCATTTCATCTTATCTGCTTGGCTTTCAGTGTTTATCATGTCAGTGACTCTTTATCCCAGACCAGAGGTTGATTTCGGTCACCTGCCGGGGTCATTAGAGCCGTGATGTCATCACACACCTGGCCCAGCTGGTTGGGACTGGGACTTCGATGCTGTGTCTGTGACCAGGTTTGTTAGGCTTAGCAGAGAGCTGGCATCCTGGCCTCTGGCCGGGGTCAGGGTTTCCCAGCAGGGCGTCTCCTTCCTGGAAACACCCTCTTCTCCCAGTCTTTGGTCTCCTCTCCTGCATCTGGTGCCCAGAACCTCCCTGGGCCTCCTCTATCCCTTCAACCACCTGCCTGGACTTAGCTGGCTTCCAGATTCAGCAAGGAGAGGGGTGAGGGGCTGGAAGGCAGGGTCCGGCCTGGGGTCTTCTGATGCCCTATGCTGTGACTTGGCTCCTTGTAGCTGCTGCTCTGTCTCTGGGATGAATCAGTGGGAGGTGGAGGCTCTGGAAGGATGCACGGTGGCTCCAGGGTTCTATCTGGCAACAGTATGAGTCTAGGTCTTCATTATCAAAGGAAATACTTACAGGTCAGAGATACAGTTCCTTATGGCTTGATTTGGGCCATGACATCTCCCAGAAAGCGTCTTCTGAGGTGAGAGATTTTGGCAACCTCCAGGGCAACAGGTTTCCTCTTTGCACCTCATGACCATCTTTCCTGGCTTAGAAATGAATGTCAGCCCCGGTCAATGTAGATTGTGTGTCATTTAAGAATTACTAATATATGGGTGGAATCACACTAACATGTCCTCACCGTGATGGTTCCTTTTGGGTTCCATAAGGGGTACAAAGGTGAACTGAGCACACATCTTGTCTTCAAGAACTCTGGCGTAGCAGGGATACAGGTGCGCACACGTGTGTATGCAGATACATACACACACACACGCTGTATTAGGTCTGCTGCTGCTCTAACAACTGATCACAAACACGGTGGCTTAAAACAATGCAAACTTACTATATTACACTTACTATATTACACTCCTGGTGGCCAGCTACCTGACCCAGGTCTCCTGGGTCTAACATGAAGGTGGCGGCGCTGCTCTCCTTTCTGGAGATTCTGTTCTCCTGTGCTTTCCGGCTTCTTCCGGCCCCGGGCTGGTGGCCCCTTCCTCTGTCTCTGACCCTTCCGTGCTTACACCTCTCCGTGCCCACATCGGGGAAAAGATCCCCACTTTAAGGGCTCGTGTGATGAGATTGGGCTCACCTGGATAGTCCAGAAGAATTTTTCTCATCTCAACCTTGATCACACCTGCAAAGTCCCTTTTGCCGTGGAAAGTAACATACTCATGGGTTCCAGGGATTAGGAGATGGCCCTGTTTTGCCATATTTTGCTGGGGGCGGGGAGGATATTATTCTGCCTACCATAAACATGTACACACAAATAGTAACAATAAGTATAAATTTATGTTTATATATGTATAAACAATTACTATGATACAACATAGATGAGTGATTCGGAGTTTATTGGCGCTCCTGCCTGGGGGTGTACTCCAGATCTGGGTTGGAGAGGGGGGCAGTGTTGTATAGGGGATGAGTTTGCAAAAGTATGACATACATCGCTATGTCATACCTTCATATCGGTCAATCATCAACCTATTTTTATTTTATTTTGTGTTTTTTTTTTTTTTTTTTTTTTTTAGTGACAGGGTTTCAATCTGCAGTGGCACCATCTCTGCAACCTTGAACTCCTGGGCTCAAGCGATCCCCCTGCTGTAGCATCCGGAGTAGCCAGGACTATAAGCACACGCCACCACACCCAGCTAATTCTTAATTTTTAAAGGTTTTTGGTAGAGACAGGAATCTATCTGTGTTTTCAGTGTTACTCGTAGGAAGTCATGGCTGAGAAACAGTGACTGCTGTGTGGGCACCAGGGAAGAAAGAGGTGCTTTTAATGCTTGGGAGTTGGAAAGTCTTAAAGAGGAGAGTCCTTGGAGGATGTGAAGCTGGGCATCCAAGGATGGGAGGGTTTCGCAGATGGGAGGTCAGTCTGGGTAGGAAAAGACATCACAGGCAGGTAAGAGGGTCCCTGAGTCTGGCAGTCAGATTGCAGGTGGGGGCTTTATAAGGAGCAGGTAACTGGAAGTCACGGAGGTCAGGGCCCCTGCCAAGGGTGTAGGCCCAGGCAGCTTTCAGAGATGCAGAGCGGGACAGGGAAATACCCAGGACTGTCCGAGGAGCACAGCACAGCAGCGGCAGAGATGGGGTGGCTGGTGGGTGTGGGGAGGACTCAGCCCTGCTGGGGGCACGAAGGTGGGGATGGAGGAGGGTGGGCACCAAGGCTGGTCCTGAGGCAGTGGAGGGTGGGTGGGTCCCTTCCAGAAACGACCATCACGGGGCATCTTTATCCAATCGCAGATCAGCAGGCTCAGCGCCACCCTGGACTCATTGGAAATGCAGATTCTCAGGCCCTGCCCGGCCCTCCTGAATCAGAAATGCTGGGGAGGGGCCCCGACATCTGTGTTCTCACAAGCCCCAGGGGATTTTGTGGCGCTCAAGTTGCAGAGCCACTGTCCTATTGCGTTTTCCTCCCTCCCAGTCACCCTCTTCCTTCTCCTGAGCTTGTCCTCCCCAGTGGTGGTCAAGGCTGGGCCTCCATGCGTCTCACACTCAGCTGTCTTCCCATTGTGACAGGTCATGGTGAGCCTCTACGGCTTCTGAGAAGTCACCCAGATGACTCAAAGTTAAATCACCTGCTTTGCAGCAGAGCCAGGGGGTGGTGGGGGCATCACTGCTTGACAACAGGAAGGGCTGTTAAACAAAGGCTGGTGGCCAGGAGTTCCCCTACTTCCCAAGAATTCGAGGAAATAGCGTCCTTGTAGTGTCAGGGATTCAGGGCGAGGAAACAGGACTCCCTTCTGGCGTGTGATGTCAACACAGGAGTAACGATGGACTTCCCACCTCCAGTGTCCCTAAAAGCGGGCGCTCATCCACTGCGACCCTGCTTCAGGGTGGGGACATGGACAGGTGGCTTCATGCAGCCCCGCACCCTTCCAAGCATCTCATCAGCTCCATTCCTGTCTGGAATATTCCAAGAAGAACCTTATAAGATGGAGAATGAGGGTCTTCTTGTAAACCTCACTCACGCTACAGCAGAAACCTACAGGGAGGCCAAATAAACTGAGGGCTCTGTGGATTGCACGTCTCCCCCCGCTTGTCGAAGTAAGGGACAGTTTCACTCCTAGGCGGTGCCGCCTGGTGCCAAGGGTGAGCTGGGCCAGGAAGGTAACAATGATGGGACGAGAATAGGGAAACGAAGCTGAGTTTCTGTAGAAAGTGTATCACCTATTAG